CCTCCCCCCTGCCGCCCCTCCCTCCGCTCTCTCTCTCTCCTCCCCCCTACCCCCTTGGCCATGGTGGTGGTGTTTTAAAGATCCCGCCATTGACATCCTCCCTGACGTCACAGACCGGGGCGGGGATGTGGCCGCATGTAAACACGCTGCGCAACATCGGGCTGACCCCCCCAGGTGCCGAGCAGCGCCTGCTCGGCGGGCCTCTCAGGGCGGGGGAACTCCTCTCGCTCTAGCCCCTCCTCTATCGCTGCGCCCCGGCCCCCGGGGCTAGGCTGCCCCATCACACACACACCCTTTTAAATTAGTCACCGCTCCCGGTCCTGTGTCCTCCTCTCCTTCGTGCCATCTTGAAAAGAAGTCTGCGTTTTGGTTTTCCGCCCCGGTGTGGCCTGGGAACACGCCACGCACCATCGGGCTGACCCCCCCCGGTGCCGAGCAGCGCCTGCTCGGCGGCAATCACGGTGCGGGGCTAGGCTGCCCCATCACACACACACCCTTTTAAATTAGTCACCGCTCCCGGTCCTGTGTCCTCCTCTCCTTCGTGCCATCTTGAAAAGAAGTCTGCGTTTTGGTGTCGGGTGCTGGCCCTGTGGGCTACCTCGAATGCGTAGGGCTGTAAGGTTAAGTACCAGCGCATTAACCGAGCATTCGAATCTTTCATAGTTTGTAGCCATCGCAGGGGGGTGTGGTCCGTTACCACCCGGAAACGGTTACCTAAAAGATAGTACCTCAATAGGTCAATCGCCCACTTTACCGCCAAGGCCTCCTTTTCAATCATTGAGTACTTACGCTCCCGCGTAAACAGCTTACGACTGACAAATGACGGGATGTTCGTCCGCCCCCTCCCCTTGTGACAGTACCGCCCCTATTCCGCTTTCCGAAGCGTCCGAATAGAGGGTGAAGGGATGGTTAAAGTTGGGCTGTGCTAACACTGGGGCCCGTGTTAGGCAGTCTTTTAACCTCTGGAAGGCTTCTTCACATTCTGGGGACCATCGTACCTTTTGGAGCAGGGCGGCCCATGTAAGATCCGTCAAGGGTGCCGCTATTGCCGCAAAATTGGGGACGAAACAGCGATAATAGCCATTCCCCCCAGCGGACCAGGGAGACGCAGAGTGGCTTTGCTCCCCGCGGCTTTGCTCTGCGTCTCCCTGGTCTGCAGCCCAGGGAGACGTGGAGGACCCGGGCGGGACCACGGCGCA